ACAGCATTTTGATATTTGTGAAAAGCAAGAAAAATAATAAATTGTAAAAAAAATAAAATTATCCAGTTCATCCTGCCACACATGGGGCAAAACTACCTATTCAAGGTCATACTGACAGAATTCAAGGCTTCTGAGTCTTGGTTTCTTTCCAAAACATCATAAAATAAAAGCTCCAAAAGTGATACCTTTTCTGAGATAACACATGCCTGTCTACTGTTTTTAAACCACAACAAAACCTTCATGTTGTTAAAATAAGACAGGGAAGAAGCATAGAGCCCTTTCTAAAGGAGTAGACAGAGCTGCTAACTTTCAAGTCAGTGTAGCAAAAAGAAAGAAGCCATGCTTAAATATTTGGTCCAGGGACTATGACTCCATTTTGATATTTAAATGTGAGAATAGAGGAGGCCAGCAAGAAATAGTCAAGATCAGATGACCAGGAACAAAATATAAAAATAGCAACTGGCCTTTAAGTCAAAAGGAGCCTACCATCATTTTAGCTGGGAGAAAGGTTTAGAATAGCAAAGGGAGCAAAAGCAATGGAGATAGGTTTTAAGAGCAACAGCTGTTCATTGCCCTGATTACAGCAGGGAAAAAGTACGTACAAATCAAAAATATTCTAAATCCAGAGAGTAAATGATGGTTACCAGGGCATGGGGAGTGGGGGGATAAGACTGATGGTGTTTAAGAGTACAAACTTGCAACGAGCAATAAGTCAGAGACCTAATGGACAATATAATATAGACAATATTGTACTATAATTATATGATAAATATTGCTACAAAGGATTATAAGATATGAATCTATCAAAGTAACACATCATATATATTAAATTTATACTGTATTAATACATCAAAATTTATTCAATTAAAAAACAGGAAAAAAATCTACTTCCTGTATCAATTCCTACTGATGGGTCATGTTCGGCCACAGCATGAGCAGATGATGCCAGAGAGACACTGCCTGAGAAAAGAGCTTTGCTCCTAGGTCTGGTGCACTGCTTGGTAGGCTCCTGGAGTGCTTAAGGGTTCTCCACCAACACACTCCTACAGTGCACAAGAGCCAGCAGACTACCCCAGCACCCTCCCTTGGGTGGTCTGTAGAAGACAGCCTCTAGTAAAACACCTCTCTGTGGGGAATCCCTGGGTGGCTCAGCGGTTCAGCGCCTGCCTTTGGCCCAGGGTGTGATCCTGGAGTCCCAGGATCGAGTCCCACATCGGGCTCCCGGCATGGAGCCTGCTTCTCCCTCTATGTCTCTGCCTCCTCTCTCTCTCTATGTCTATCATGAATGAATAAATAAATAAAATCTTTAAAAAAAAAAAAAAAAAAAAAAAAAACACCTCTCTGTGAACATCTTTCCCTGGTACCCAGAAAGCAGATTTCTGGCAAATTCCATTAAGGAGGTACCATAGCAACTTCCTTGTCATCCAGTGAGCCACACATCCTCTCAACAAGGTCCAGGTCTCAGCTTTGGGTGGGTCTGTTCCTTAGGTGCTTAATCATGGCTCTTAGGGGGAGAGACTAATCTTTAGATCTCTTTTCATATTTTTTTAAGATGTTATTTGAGAGAGAGACAGAGAAGGCATGCGCACACACAGGGAGTGGTGAGGAGGGGTGAGAGAGAGAGTCTTAAGGAGACTCCATGCTAAGCACAGAGCCCAAGGTGGGTTACATCTCACAAACCTGAAATCATGACCTGAGCTGAAATCAAGACTGGGATGCTTAACGGACTAAGCCCACCCAGGCACCCTATTTCCATATTCTTTAGAATTCTCTTTACTTACTAGCCAATCTTGTTACTGGTAACATTTCTTTACATTAAACTTTCCCTGTTCATACTACCCTGTGTGGTTTTTTTCCTTCCTGTTTGGACTATACTGATACAGTCCTGAAAACCATTAAGATGACAGGTCAGTGAGGGAAAGAAGAACAAGCACACAGGCAATAAAATGAATGTGAATACAATAGATCCTGATGCTTTGCCAGCCAAAACATCCACAATCTCTTGGATTTGACTTAACCTGCTATATCCTGAAAACAGTCTAGGTTTTTTTTTTTTAAAAAAAACTTCTAAGTATTTGAGTATGTTTTATCTTAGATTCATGGCAAAATGCCATCAGTAGGTTTTCTGTGCTATGAAGCTGTCCATCCTCACCACAGAGGAACATTAGAGAACCAAGTGAGGGCAGCAGCTGTCCATTCTGCCATCTTAAATTGCTGCTCAGGAAATCCATAACTGTCAAACTTTTAGGCAGGAGGATGGCTTAGTGGCCTCTTCTACTGGGAATCAGCCTAAACATGAGCTCGTTAAGTGAAGCACAAGATCTTTCTGAGGCCCTATTTCCCCTTTGTAGACTTCAATGATTATTAGAATACCTGGAGAAGGACAAAATAAAACCACGAAAAACTCATTAAATTTCATGTATGTATGGTAGGCAAACTAAAAATAGAAACCCACAAAGGAATAAAGGAGCACTTAGTTAACAGCAAAGTCAAATTCTTGAAACATATGTCATAAATAAGCAATGGTAAAGGTTACTTTTTCTTGTTTAGTGGCATTTCAGAATGATAGGAAAAAAAGCATCAAAACATATTTCTTGGAAAAAAAAAACAGCCCCAGAGTTGGAGGAACATAGAGGAAAAACTAAAAATATAAGCAGGCACTAAAAAATTCAACAAAAGTGTTGTATTTACTCCTTTAGCAGAAAACAATTTTGGAAGAAATCAACAGTAAATGACACTACATAAGCCACACCTACTTTGCTACTGTACTACAATTGCAATATACTGTGCCCCAAAGAAGAGAGGTAATTGCCAGAAAGAGACCCTTATGTCTCTATAAGGTATTTGTTTCATTTTAAGGTGTGCTGGGTTGGAAGCTATATATGTTTGGGAGGAACAAAAATATTTTCAAAAATAGTAACTTACGGTAACTTTTCTTATCCTACTACCTTACTGTAATGTCTCTAAACATGTTTTCTAGCTGGTGAGCCTAGGGTAGAAATTCATTTATGTGTATTTACAGTAAATGCACAGGAATAATCTTTCTTTCCTACTAAGAAGAAAGCATATGTACAATTTCAAGTACAAAACTCTTGCCTCCCAACAGGAAAGACTCCACATAGCAAACTGACAAGGATCCCAGCTTCTTGTCTGTCAGAAAAAAACAATGTCATAGCTGTTAATTTTGTTTCTGCCTTTCTCCAACATAATTGCTTCAAGAATTTTAGGACAGGTATGTATTTCTCCTTTCCCCTGCTCTGATTTCAAAATCATCCTCCTCTTCAGCACAGATTTCCCAGTGCATTTAATAGGTCTCTAGATTAATTTCACAGGGGAAAGGATTTCTGTCATCACTTCAAATTATATACAAACCCAAAACCTTATACATAGCCCACCTCTCAAACTAGTCATGCTCTTCAATTACTCATATTCCTCTTTAGTGAAAATCCTATTTTGCCACTATTGTTATCAATTTTAGCTAGATTACTGTAACTAACTTCAATTTGATCTTAATACCTGTGGTTCTCCCAACTTCAATAGCACCCTGTATACCATTTTGAATCACCTGCCCAATCTAACACTTTCATCATTAAAGAAAGGATGCAAGCTCCAAAAATTCAGAGGTGCCTCCAGGAAGCTGCAAAAATGAGAAGAGATCCCACCAGGCAGAGGTTCAAGGAAATCACCATCTAAAACTGGGAGCACTAGTTTTGTCAGTTCTATAAGTGTCATCTTAGTATTTTGTCAGGGGAATGGTTTGCTTAGCAATCATTTCCCTAAGGGATCAAATAGATCTCAATATATTTACCTATATTAGTTTTCTATCTTTGGTATAACAAATCACCACAAGCACTAATAGCTTAAACCGAAACAAGGTCACTATACTACAGTTCTAGAGGTGAGAAGTCTGACACAGGTCTCACTGGGCTGAGATGAAGGTGTCAGCAAGGCTGCATGCATTCTTTCCTGGAAGTTTTTTTTTTTTTTTTCTTTCCTGGAAGTTTTAACAGGGTTTGTTCTCTTTCATTTTCCACTGTATAATGTCCCATTTACTTCTTTGGCTCATGATCCTTTCCTCCATCTTGAAAAGCCAGCAACATCAGGCTGAGTTCCCCTCACCTTACCTCCTTCTTCCACTTTTAAGGAAGCCCATGACTACACTAGGCCCATCAGGAAAATCCAGTATAGTCTTCCTAACTTAAAGCCAGAGAATCAGCAACCCTAATTCCCCTTTGCTATATAGCAACATATTCAGATTCCAAGGATTAAAACATGACCATCTTTGCAGGGGAAGGGGCATTACTTGCCTACTACACTACTCAAATTGTATTTGCCCTCTATCTCTAGCAGAGTACTGCTCCACAGAGAATCAAACAAACCCAACTTAAATGTGCAACCCAAATCCATCCTCACCTATCCTATTTTTCCCACAAGATACAGGAAAGGAAATAGGAGATCACACGGATAATCAGTACAGAGATATGTTCTCATCCCTTGATAGAACTCAGAATTCATTTTCTCTTGTATATGATGCATAGTCACATTCTTAAGACAGCTCAAAGTCCTCTAACTAAACCAATAATAGCTACACTACAGACTAACTGTAAAAAAATCTTCTGAAGACCCTGAAATTCCATTTGAAATAGCAATTGGAAACACTGCAACAAATAAAACCATCAACCTTTTGGTCTGGTTATTAAGCTGTGCAATCCATTTTCTCTTAGAAAATATATGCTCAGTCCTAATAACCCTTGAAAACAGTACTGCAAAAAGCATTCAGTATTTCTAATATTTTACATCACTGGAAAAAATTGTGCTTACATATAAACTTGAAGCTTAAAAACTGCTTGGGGCTCAGTACTGCTTAAGTCCTGACCTTACTTTTAGAAACGCGGGAAGTAATTATGCATATTCATTCTGAGCACTTACAAAAATTCAGTGCAGCATGAGAAAGACCCTGTACACAATAGTACATAGCTTTTTTAGCTGTTGGTACCTACCAAGATTTGTAGCAGATTCAAAATTCTCAAACTTTAATGCAGTATGATTCCAGATTGGCCTCAAGAGGGAGCAGCATCCTTTTAAAAACAGACTGTCCTGCAGGTAAATGCTTTCAGTGCATCACAAAAAATGAATGGAAAGACATACTAGCCAACAAATATTAAGACATTTAGAAACAGGATTTGATTTTAATAATGCTCTGTACAACAGAGGGCATTAATGAATATAAAAGGAAGCAAGTCTCTTAAAATGAACTACAGGATATACCATCCCTGGGCAGTAACATTCAAGACAGTCCTTTGCTTCTTTATTCACATTTTCTAGTTTTTCTATAGTGAATTCCTACTGTTATTGTATGAAGGAAAAAAGCAAAAGCAAATAACCCTTTACTTATTATTTCTACAGTTACTAATAACATGCATGTTAAGTGACCAAAAGAGAATCATAGATGCAAATGAACTGTTTAAAAAATCTAACCCATATCAAGTATCATCTAAAATATTTACACTACATCACAAAAAGAAATGACATATCAAATCTCTAAAAACCAATTTTCTAATGCCAATCAGAGAAATAAATCATAAATATAGAACAGAAAGACTGGAAAATGACAAAGAAAACACATCACTATTCAGTAAGCCATATAGTACTACTTAAGAAAAAAAAAAAAAAGGCACAGGTTGCACAACCTTAAATGACTTGTCAGGAGTAACCTGATGGAGCAGCTACAGAACCTCAGTAGCTGCTAAACTTCACACAATAATACTCTGTATTTACAGGATCCTTGTTCTGAAAGAATCAAAGGGCATTCACTATTTACCTTGTATTTGGTGATCATTTTATTCACTTGTTATTCCATTCAATTCAGACTTTCATCATCCTTACCAGAATCCCCAATGACAATCCTAAAAGGCATGAATATGTTATTTCTGTTTATATGTAAAAGTCTGAAAGGATTCACACCACACTATTAAAAAACCATTACCCAAGCAACCCCTGAGGAACAGATGTGGAGGGGGACTTGCTGAAGAAGGAAATGCATTTCAGTATTCAAATCTTATCTTTGAACATATAATAATACAATAAAAAATTAATGACCACATAAAATATAGTGCATTGTAGGCCATGATATTTCCTTTGAGATGATACAACAAATTTAGTTCATCCCCTGAACAGCTTTATTATATTAAATATATTATTAGAGGCCACATTCCCAGAGGCCAGTTTCCAGACAGATATCAAGAACCAGTTCTCAGAAGCAAATTTCTAAACACATCCAGGGCTGACCTTTGCCCATAGCAAACAACTGGTCATGAAAGAAGCTACCCATCAGCACTGCCATCCCTACCCCTCCAATTCAATAGTCAGCTATGAATTCCAGCAAGCATTTTTGCATGATTCTCCATTAACTTATCTATTAATCACCAGGCCAGAAAATATAACCATTTCAGATTCAAGCTTTATTTTCTGCTACAGGGAAAGAGTTGCTACTTTTTATTTCTCTTCCCTCAAAGTGTTGCTGTGATAGAACAGTAAAAAAAACTGAAAATCATCTAAACACCCACCAATAGAAAATACAGTTAAATTATTATATATACAATCTACATATGTACGCTATATATAGCAAACACTTTGAGGCTGCAAAAATAATTTAAAGAATGAATCTTTTTACTACCATGTAACATGGAATATTAGTGATAAATTAAGTGCAAAATGCAAGTGAAAAACTGTGTGCAGTGTGCCTTATCTTTATGTAAGCAGAAAGAAAAAGAGTATTCATATTTACTTGCATACAGTAAATTAATAGTTTCTTTTATATCATTCCAGAGATGAATGGCTACCTCCTAGTAGGGAAAGTAGGAGGCTGATGGGGAGACATTTCCAATTTATAAAATTTTTCTATGTTTAAAATTTGAACCATGTGACTATATTACCTAATTTTAAAATCAATGATTTTAAACTTGCTTAAAACTTTTATCTTTAGAGTATTTGTGATGCTGTTAATACTTCAAAGTTGAGAGCAGGCAGAACAACAAATTGATGTCCTTGAAAATCAACCTCACTTCTTTATAATCATACATTTAGCATTCCAAAAGAAACCCCAATGACTGCCCCAACAGCATCACCAAAATATCTTACCTTATCAATTTCTAACAGCAAGCATTTTTATTTAATAAAGCAATAATTACTTAAGTTGTTACACTCTAACACATATGGGACACAAAGACAGACATAAGAGAAATACAAAATCATAAAACTCTACATGATAACCATTAACCTTGATGGATCCAAATAGTCTGAAATTTCACATGAATTCTTTAGGAAGCAAAGAGTTATGTGTAATCTGTGTGAGGGCATTTCAGCTAATCACATAGCTGGAGATTCCTGGTATCACCATAAAGCAGAAAATGACACTGCAGTATAGGGAAAGTTTTATTCTACCTTTCATATCCATATAAGTATAGAAGAAACTGAGGCCAAAGAATTATAACATTGCAGTTCATTTGAAAATGTGTCTAATTCAACAACATGGAAAAGAATTCACACACCAAATCATTAACCTTAAGAGTTTTATATACAATAACACAGACATGTGAATATAGGGGAAAAAAGCATTACCCAGTAATCAATCTGAAAATAAAAAACTCATTAGATAGCCTACAAGACAATCTGGTTTTGTTACATATATACACAATTAAAAACTACAGTGAACTACTGTATGTGTCATCTAGCAACTAAAATCAACTACTACTTAAATGCCATGAAAGGAGCAGCTGACTAGAAATCATTTTCCTATTTGTTCACACATATGAGCATTCGGTGGGAGATAACCACAATAAGACATGGTTTCTCCTTTCAGGCATTTTATAATTCAATTACAACTGTTAGAGTACTCAAAAACAATTTCAGAATAAAATGTTATCAAGAAGTAACTGCACAAGTAAGAGTAGACTTTAATCACTGTGAAGATAGAGAAGAGGGGGCTCTAGGGAAACACAGTATATGAACTAGCCTTTTATTTGAAGGACTTCAGAAGGCAGAGATAGGAAAGGGAGAAAATTACAAGTGGAGATGCAGAAGAAACCAAAAGTTTACATCTAGAAAGAATGTAAACACAAGTTTGAATAAAACAAGAACCAAATTTAAAAAAGAGCACAGAGGCCAAATAATTAATTTTGAAAGGCAATACCGAGGAATACGAACTTCATTCTAGAGTTGATCAGGAGTCACTCAGTGGAGGCATGGTGGTCAAGAACTCAGAATTCCAGCTCTTCTACCTACTAGCAACCCTCCAGGCTCATAAAATATCAATTTCTTCATCTGTAGACTGGGAAAGTAGTATCTACAACATAAAACTTATGAGGACCAAATGAGAACAAAGCATTTAGCACAAAGGCTGACATAAGATATTTCAGTAAGTGTTTTTTTGTTCTGTTTGCTTCGGTCACGCTGGGAAAATATGATCAGAACTGCCTTTAGGTAAAAAAGAAAAAAAAGAAGAACTGCCTTTAGCTCAATTAATTTGACAGCAGTATGCATGATGAATGGCAAAACCTAGAGATTAGGGATGTCTCTTATTAATGGCAATTGAGACAAAGGGATTAAAAGTTTTTTTGTTGCTAGGAAAATGGAAAAGCAGCAGGAGAACTTGATTCCTGAACCATAATGCAACACAATGACAAAGAATTTCTGAGAAAAAGGAAAGTGATGAATCAAAGGTGACCTTTGATTTTAAGACTAGATGACTAAGAAAATGTTAAGATCATTAATATAAACAAAGAAATGACTGAAGAATTAAGTTTGGAGAAGAAACAGTTTAATTCTGAACCTACGGATTCAAGGTTACAGGTTACAAAACGACCGTTACTTACAAAGTTTATCAAGGAGAACAACAAAAGGCAAGTCTGAAGCTTAGGAAAGATAATGAGGCTGGTGATGCAGAACTGGAGCTTCAAGGGCAGCCCAGGTGGCGCTGCCTTCAGCTCACGGTGTGATCCTGGAGACCTGGGATTGAGTCCTACGTTGGGCTCCCTACATGGAGCCTGCTTCTCCCTCTGCCTGTGTCTCTGCCTCTCTCTCTCTCTCTCTCTCTCTCTCTCTCTCTCTCTCTCTCTCGTCCTCTCTCTCTCTCTCATGAATAAATAAATAAAATCTTAAAAAAAAAAAAAAAGAACTGGAGGTTCAACAGCAGAGGGAATGAACAGTGGAATCCATGGGTGTGCGTAGGACTAGAAAGGAAAAAACACGACTCTAAAAAGAAGTGCAAACTCAATCTAAAGTTAACCCTTGTTTATGAGTGAGATGAGAAAATGAACAAAGCCACAAGAATGTACAAGTCTGAGGTGCTGGCTTATGCAAGTTCAAGAGAAGACAAGGCCTTGACAACACTTCATATCCCATGGCTCATAATAAATTCTAAATGGACTTATGATGATATGATTATTATAGGCTTTTAAGAGCCTACAAGTTACTGAAAAGTGTTAATTATTCTGATTCAACCCCCAGCAGGACACAGCTAACACAGTATAATTATAATTAGATATTTTTCCAGTAGCTCAAAGCTCGAAGTATAACTTTTAAGTCCTCATCTTGACATTCATCCACACATTTGACTGCCTTGATTATCTACTATTTGAGGAAACCCCCCACCCTCTGTCTACTTAAGACAGCCAATTCTCAGGTTTTATCCCTCTGTTTTGGCTTCCCTTTCATCTTAGCTAGTTTCTCCCTCAAAATAGAAGCACCAGGGAACAATAGTCCTCTTTGTAATTCCACAATAGTTGTCTTAAACAACTAGTTTTTAAAACTCAACTAGATTTTAAACTCTGGATCCTACCTAACATTTGTTATCATTAATAAGACCTACATGGTTTCTTGATTTTTGGCTATACACGAATATATGTCCCCAAAAAAGACTTGCAGGCTAAACTGCAAAATAAACTTTCTACTTCTACCCATCAGCAATAAGATCTCTTACCAATTTTGGAAAAGAGACACACACAGTATTGGATTCCCCACCCTCAAACAGCTGAGAAGTCAATAGATCTTACCATAGCCTACACTTCTTTCTGATGCTGAAACATTTTTGTATCCCACAACTATAAAGCCCACCCACATTCAATGTCAAGTTGTCCAAGAGATAATCAAAAGCAGATATGTCACTTAGATGTGAATCCAATTACCACTGTAAACAATTACCAAGAAATGAAAGCTCAAATATTTTCCTATATGTGGGTTTCTTCTCAAATACATATTAGAACTGTTCATACTTTATTAACTTCAGCATTTGCCCTATATCTTTAAAATACATAGCTGTCACATATGTTGGAAAACTAAAAGATTAATAGAGCATAATATTAGGAACTATACTATACTTCATTAATTGTCATGACGCATTTTTAAGAGGCTAAAATACTAAAAATGAAATAAGCACACTTCAATCTTTCTAGGGCCCTTTTAATATTCTTTTTATCACATTAGTTTACAAATAGTACAACTGGGTTCATAAAAATGTTAAATGAAATGAGATTATCCAAGTTTGTAAGGAATAAAAGCACCTTAAGAGCTACAATTTACTATAGTATCCAAATTTGCCATGGTATCAAATCCCAATTCTTCTTGGTTAGTGGCACCAGATCAAGGAATGTTTTAATACAGCACAAAAACTTCATTCAAGAAGATACCAGAGTTTCACACTTTATCCATTAGATTATTTTTCAATGCATATGACTATATTCAATTCTCTATTTTGTAAGGAACACTTCCAAGCCAAAAAAAAAAAAAGGGGGGGGGGACTATTAAGATCAACAGCAGAGCAGAAAACACGGGTTTTTGGCTTAGCCCTAAGTCTAATGTAGTCACCACCACTAAAAAGGTGAGGAGATCTTGAGCAGTTGAATTAATCCCTAAGAGCGTCTGCTTATTGATCCTTAGATTGGAGAGAATACCACCCATGTTTAGAAATAACTAAGAAAAAGCATATTATTACCAGTAACTATAACTAAAATGCCATAGATATTACATATGCTTTTAAACACAGCTCCCCAAATAATTACACAATTGGGCCTAAGATTTCAGGCTATCTGTGTTTAGAACCAGACTTCTTTGTGATTATTTACTCAGTTGTTTTCCCTGGAAGCTGACAAGAAGATGAACACACAGTACGTTTTTAATAAATACATGCCAGCGATAAGATCAACAAAGCCTCCAGCTCCTCTGCACACAGAAATACAAAATCCCTATTTCCTAGCTTTCTGACTTATTTAATAGTAAGCAGTATGATACCATCCTTTCACTTACAGCTTACTCCCTACAGTCTACTATCAAAATATTTAGTCTCTGGCTGTTCTGAGGCTTGCTTTAGTTTCGTGGTCTTTCTGAAATACACACTTCTAGGCCACTGGCTTTCTACCTTTTACCTTATCTTCAGACATGAGCAGGTTCGTGTTTAAGGAATTGAATTTGTTTTCAACTGACCAGATGGAATTTAAATTTTCCCTGAAAAATGCACTCACCAAAAAAAAAGAAAAAACAAAATAATAATAATAATAAACTATTTTAGTAAGCTGCTTTATGAAGTCATCCAAGCCTCCTGTAGCTACACCATAAACCCTGTTGTAAACATATTCCTTAACTTGCCTAATATGTAAGTATCCCCAATCTGGCCTCAAACAATCTGAAAAGTTTTGCCACATCATGTTTCAAAATAATACCTTGTAGCCCTTCTTAAAAGCTATTTGACAAGAGTTAAAAGATCATAGAGAACCTGGAGACAATGTTCTGCAGTAAAAAAACACAGCTATGTAGCCTCTAAAAAGAATGAGGTATGTAATAAAAAATGAAAGAATTATCTGTGAGTACCCTTTGTCAATAAAAAGTATACTCTATACACGACCCCAATTTTGTTTCTAAAGCATACTTACACGCAGAGAAAAGTTCTGAATGGCTAAACAGCACACTTGTGGGCTGGTTACCCCGGCAGTAAAGAGAGGAAACCCGGGGGGGGGGGGGGGCGGGGGGGGCGGGGAGCAGACGTCTTCATTGTTCAGCTGCTTAATTTTTTTCTTAAAGAGCACGTAGTACTTTCGTAATCAAAGCAAAAAAAAAAAAAAAAAAAAAAAAAAAAACAACAGCAGCAACTGGGAGAAAAGAACCACTGGTAGTTCTATACTTTCCCCTCCGTACCCAAATTCTTCTCATGTGCGCTTTCAAAAAAACAGAACTATGACCTCTCTTCTTTTAAAAGAGAAGCCACACACACACACACACACACACACACACACACACACACACAGTACTCCAAGTCAAAAAAAGGAAAACCCGGGACCTGCAGAAGTCCTCCCGTGGGTCGTGCTCGCGGGGGCGCGGGGCGCCGGGGCCCAAGTGCCCCGCGGAGGCAGCGCGGAGGAGCGGCCGCGAGCGCTCCCGCAGACACGGCGAGCGACGAACCACCCCCCGCCGCAGCCCGCGGCGTCCCGAGCCCACGTCGGCTGGATCCTCTTCCTTCCGAATCAAAACAACAACACAAAGTCACGGGGTGCAACCGAGCAGGCCCGGCGGGCCCGGGCGGTCTGCGGTCCGCAGCGCGGCGGAGCCGGACCCCTCCCCGAGCCCCCAGAATCCCCCGCCGCCCTCCACGCCCCGACCCCGTGACCCCTGCGACCCCTGCGACCCCTGCGACCCCGCGCTCAGCCTCACCCCAGCACGCGGCACACGCCGACCCACACCACCCCGAGGCCACGGCAGCAGCGTTACCTGCGGCGAGGCGCTCGGTCCGGCCCGCCGCAGCCGCACGCGGGACCGGGCACTAGGACTCGGCGGGCTCCTCGGCTGCCCGCCGCCTCCACCGCCACAACAACACCGCGGCCGACGCCGCCGCCGCAGCCCAGCGGAGGGGCGGGGCCCGGACCCGCCGCGGGGGGAAGCCCGACGGCGCAGCCCCGAGAGGCGTCGGGAATCTGGACATGCGCAGAGGGGCGCAGAGGGCGCGAGGGCCGCTCCGGGGGGACGCCCCCAGCCGCTCCTCCCCCGCGGGGATGGCTCCGCCCCCACCCCCAAACAAACAACGCGAGATCTCGAGGAGGCTTGGGGACGGACTGCGTCGGGAGAGATCCCGCGAGAACAGGGCCTCTCCGCCCAGCCCCCTTCAGGGGGTTGGGAAGCGCGGCGGCGCGGAGCCGGGCTGGCGGCTGGAGTGTTCTCCCGGAGAGGCCTTGCTGTGTGTGGCACCGCGACCCGGGACAGGGCGGCGAAGGCGGCGGAGCACGTTCGAGGTGCTTCCCTGCGGGGTCACTGTCCAGGGACCTTGGTGGGACGAGGCCGCGGTCTCTCCCACGGCCGTGCGCTCTCAAGCGTCCGCTCAGCGCGCAGAAGCGTCCGTCCGGGTCTCCGCCCAGGGCGTCCTCGGCCCGCCTCGGAGCGGAGCTTGCCCCGTGACTCGTCAAAGCCCAGCGAGGGTGTGGGCTGGCCCGCGTCTCGGGGCTTGCCTGGACACCCCGCAGCCGCGTCCGGAGGTTCTGGAGGGAGAGGAGGGGTCAGCAGAGCGGGGTCTGGAGAGCCGAGATGTTGCCGCGAACGAGCCCGTCACCCTTCTGAGCGAGCTTTACTGTACCCGAGATCCAGTGTGTCTCCTCCTGGGTACGACCACTTTGTGCCCGTCTTCTGCCTTTTCACTGAGTCTTTCAGTGTGCGCGCCACCCCAGCCCACGAGTGGGCTCGCATCGTGGGAATTCTACTCGGTCTGGATTTTCAGATGCGTTACTGGTTGTAGGCTACAGGCGTTGATGGGTCACCGGGGATAGAGCATCCGTGGGGCGCCTGGCGGTGCTGCCCGGCTAAGCATCTGCTTCCCTCTGAGGTCAGATCCCGGGGTCCTGGGATGAGCCCCGTGCATTGAGCTCCCTGCTGAAGCGGGGGGTGGGGGGGGTGGGGTTGGCCTGCTGCTGCCCCGCTTGTGCGTGCTCACTCTCCAATAAAATGTTTTTAAAAATAAAGTCAATAAGACATCCTCGGTGCCCAGGTTACTATTTCCCGCCATAGCTGATGGTGTGCAAAATTGGATAGACAATAACATTCGTGAAAGAACGTG